TGAATATGAATTGTTAGATGAATTAGGATAAGGATCATTTGGAAAAGTCAAACGAGTAACTAGATACTTTAAAGAAACAGAAGAATAAGAAGAACTTAGTAAAAGTGATTATGCAATGAAAATATTTCACAAAACAGTTTTAGCTCATTAAAGAACTTGTTTTTATGAGAGTAATTCAAATGATCCAAAAATGACTAATTTATTAGAATTTGCAGATAATGAAATCAATATTCATAAATATCTTAATCATCCAAATATTTGCAAATTATATGAAATAATAGATGATGAAGATGATCCATAACAAAAAATATATTTAATTATGTAATTGGGTGATTTAGGATGTATTATGAATTTCTGTGAAATTACATTTAAATATATTAGAAATTAGGCTATTCTTGATTATCTAAAAATGAATTATATACAAGCAGCTAAACTATTATTCAAATAGATTGCTTAAGCAATATAGTATCTTCATGAAAATAATATAGTTAATAGAGATATTAAAATTGATAATATTATATGCACTACTTTATATCCATTAGATTAATGTTGTAAATTAATTGACTTTTCAACTTCAAGAATAGCTGATAAAGATAGTATATTTTATGATTGTGCTGGAACTCCAGGATTTAGAGCACCTGAAGTATAATTTTGTTTAAATGATGGTTATTCTCCATTTAAATTAGATGTTTGGTCATTTGGAATCTGTTTATATATTTATATTCATGAAAAAGTAATCAATTAACCTATATTAATAGCTACCATTTTGGGGTGAAGGAGATTTAGAAACAGATTTATTAGCTAGAGATTAACCATTATAATTTGAAATTTAGGATGATTTACTTATTAATTTAATAAATAGTTGTTGTGCAAAAAAACCATAGGATAGACCAACAATATAAGAAATATTAGATCACGAATGGTTTAAATGAAAATTTATTTTTATTATGAATTTATAGTTAAATATATAGTAAGAAGTTGCTAGATTTGCAGATATAAATCATATCTATGAAACAGTATAAAAGAAAGGATATTTAAGTCAAATTTCTAAAGAATTTGAGGACATTTTTATGAATGAAATCAATTTTGCATAATAAAGTAAATTTAATATTAATTTTAAGGATTGAGGGAAGTAATTAGTGTTATGGAAAAATAAGGATAAAAGATTGAATATAATTTGTAATTATCAAGAAATCTGCAAATATTTAAATCTAACTTTGATGTAATTGTTACAGCTACTATGAATTAAATTTGGAATAGACTCTTAAGTGAATTAAATGTTTTAGGTTAAGATCAATAGTCATAGATATTTAACATAGATACATCTTAAACTGTTAAAAGAGTAAATGATTTAACAAAATAATCTGTTTCTGATTTTAAAAAATTTGCATCTAATTAATCAATATGTAGTAGATCACCTAGTAAAATGTCATCAAAAGTCATTCCATTAAGTGAAATGTCATATTAATCAAATGGCTCACCAACAACATTCCCAAAGGCTAGAAGATAATTAGATAATAGTTTAACTACAAGTTCTCCAGGAGTAGGAAAGTATAAATTAGATTAGAGTTTGAAATGTAATAAACAATATATATATTTAATATTTAGTGATAAGAGAGACTTCACCTAATGCTACAATAGGAAAAGCTCCAAAGATAAGTTGGATAGATGAAAAAATTAAGAAGGAAGATTCTTAATCCCCTGGACCTATTTATAATCCTGTAAAAACATTTTGTTCTAAAAAAATTAAATGATAATATCTATCATTACCAATATTCCGTTATAATTTATCAATTTTCCTAATGTTCATTTATTTTTTAATCAGTTCAAGAGTAATCAGTATTTTATAAGAGATTTTAACTTTAATCACTTTTATATTTAAATAGGTCCATAAATATATATGACTGATAGCTAGCTACAAAATAAGTTTTATTAATCCTATCTTGATAAGATATTTTTAATTACTTATAGCTCCTGAATTTATCTCTTCTTAAATCTATTTTAATATGATTTAATTTAATTTCTCTTAATAATTGCCAACTTTCAAATAGATTATATTATAAATAATAATTCTTTTTAATAAATAAGGATTCGAAGTGATGAAATACTATTAAAATTTTATAGAGCTTAAAATTAGAAGCTTAAATAAACTCCCATTCATTATTTGAAAAGTCCTTTTCTTTCTTAAATCAATACTTAGTAGGTTAATAATTTCCAATCCTAGTTGTACTCTAAATTTCACTTTGTAAATAGTTATTTGAGTTACGAAATTAATGTGATTGCACAATTAATTATCTAATTCCATAATCATTTATTGTTATATTCACTTCAATTTATAATTATCATTTAGCTAAATTTAATACTTTTAAAATATTTTATGATTTTTCACATATTTCTCTAAAATTAAATACAAAATCATTTACTCCAAAAAAATTCTGTTTTATTCGTTAAGTATAAATGAAAATTCAAGAGATTGTTATTTTATTTGTTTTTGTCCGATCTTCTTATAAGAAATATATTAGTTTAACAAATCTATAATTTTGATGTTCATTTTTCAATTTGTAAATATTAAACTGAGTAGTGATTAAGAATAAATAAAAATCTATTTTTTCTGTAAAAATAATTAATATAATAATCATCATGATATTAGAATATATTAATATAATTGTAAAATGATGCAATTGTTTAGTATAAATAAGAAGAATGACAAATAAAATGATTAAGTAAATTAATGAGACTATAATTAAAAAACGAAAAATTGAAGTGATTATGATCAATTTAAATAAATTTTATTTATTATATGGGAAATCTATAAACATTAATAAATTATCATTCACCTTTATCATATATTTATGATCTAAATGAATAAATATAAGATTGTGGAATGATAAATCATCCTGGTCTTGGAGCAATTTAATTATGGAAAATTAAACAATCAAATTAACCAATGATGTTTTCATATGTAAATTAACTTTTTCATAAAAATTAGCATGTACATCTGTATAAAAATGATTCACATCTAGTTGATTTTCATAGAATTCGTTGTTAAATTAAACATCCTAACCTTTTGTCTTATTTTGCATGTACAAGCTCAAAAGCTTAAAATATTGGAAGTGTTTAATCATTATAATTATTTTTTGCTTATTACCATAAAAATTTAAAATAGAAATTACTTTAATATAAAACAATGCCAGAAACTGAAATTTGGAATGTAAATAAAAAATATATAGAAGATAATTGAATAAATTGTTAATGTCATGGCATATTTATAAGGATTGAATAGATATCACGGTAATTTGACTACAGAATCAATACTTTTGAATGAAGAAGATAAAATTAAAATATTAGATTAACTCTAATAGAAACCAAATGAAGAATAGATTAAAAAAGATATTTTTGATTTAGGGTTAGTGATAATAGAAATGCTAACACATAGAGGTAAATAAATAAATATATTATTATAAAAGCAAATTAACTAAACTTTTATGAATCATTAAAACAATTGGCTGGAATCTATTCAATTCAATTATTGTAATTAGTTGGTAAGATGTTATAAAAAGATGCAAGATTAAGACCTGATTTTTATCAACTTCAAGATATAATTAAAAATAGATTTAAGGAACCCATTATCTTACATAATCCTAATTTTAATTAAGGTTAACCAGCATTTATATAAATCAATAATCATACTTAAAGATTATAAAGTAGGAATTAAGATTAAAGAATGATAACTTTAACTGGCACATAAAATAAACCTTTAATTCAACCTAGAATTATTTATAGAAATTCATCATAAAATAATTTATAGAATATTACTATTATACCTTAGTATCCAATATAAGGAACTTAATAAAAACAAGAATAGTAAATTTATAGTAGTGTATAATATTAAAGATATCATACTCCAATAAAACATATATCAACAGTTGAATCAATCTCAACTGTAGATAGATTAACATAGTGTCAAAGTGGAATTCAACACGTTTCATTTGTATGGTAAATTTGAGTTAAAATAAATATATTATATTCTTTATAGAGATTCCAAAAATTATTATTTTTGAATTATCTAGATAAGTGAAAATATTTCGAAATCTAAAAGAGATATTAATTATAATATGTATATCATCTTTATAGATATGATATAATAATTATATGATTGTATTTATTTTTATAAATCTCATTCTCCATGTAATCCAAGGCATTTTCCAAATATGCATTCGAAGGCATCCAAGGCAGTTTTTTATTTCTCTAAACATTCATATCCCTATTATAATGAATTTAATATACAGCAGTGTAATTCAATGGATCTCTTTCTTATACTTTCATGCATTTTTTAAGTTATTTCAAGCAGCCTGTTGAGTTGTCACAAGTTTCAAATTCATCTTTGCAAACATCTTAAAGACATGTTAAAACAGCATCAGGTTAGTGGTGTCTTTTAGCCAAGGCGATTAAAATAATAGCTAAGAATAGTATGTATTTCATGATGAAAAAATTGAGATAATTAAAATATTGTTTTTAATTTTCAGTATTATTAAAGTAAAATATACTAAAAAGAAAAAATTAGTTGTTTATAACTAATTTAAAAATATCTAAGATATTATATATTAATTTATTAATTATATGAAATTAATATTATTTTTAAAAAGATTTCATATTATTAATAAATTAATATATATGCCAATAGACTTTATCAAAATAAGATTTTGATAATTAATTTTTAATGTATTAATAGGTCATTCAAATTGAATTCAAGTATTTTTTCTATTAAATTATACTATTTTTAATAGAAATCAATACTAAAAAATCTTACATATAAGCTTCTTATTATTATTCAAACAGAGCATATTGATATAAAATCATAATCTATTTTAAATAAGTATTTTTTATACATATATATTTTAGTTTATAACAATATATAATAGTCGAAGATAACTTGCAAAATTTGAGAATAGATTTATTTACTTATTAAAGTTATTATAAAATATTTTATAATTAATATTATGAACTAAAAGTAGAAATAAACACTTTTAAACTATTTTTGCTAATGTAGCAATGATAAAATAAATGTTATCTCTTAAATTAGGGATTTTCGAAACAATGATATGGTAAATGTTGTTGCCAGAGCTAATCTAGCTTAATAGTTAATATTATTTTAATAAAACATACATGAAGCATATGAATTATTAATTGATTTAATAGGACTTGAATCATAAAATGTAAAATGTGTTATGCACACTGCAGCAATCAACTTTCAAGTTTTTGAAATTTTGGGTATTTAAAAATAATGCCAACTCTTGATTGATATAGCAAATAATTATTAAATACCAGATTGTGCAGTTCATTTATTTTTTACATAACCATATTAAGATTAAATGAAAGAGACAGCATAAATAAAGAATTAAAGAATTAGATATTTGTGTAGATGTCATTTAGCATTTATATTAGAAATTCCTGATTCAGAAATAGGACATTTGAATGAAATTTTAAAATTTACCCGCTTTTTTGTTATGGATTCAAAAATAATTATTAATGATGATGTTATATTCTATTTAAGAAATGAATTTAATCGTCTTTAGAAATCAGAACTACATGAACTTGGATTCTCTCAATATAGTAAAAGAAACACACTTAATTTAATAAAGAAAAAAGAATTTATATAGATTGATAAAAAAATAATTAATCATTTTACTGTTGAAATAACCGTATACAAATTAATTGCATCTAACTTTTAATTAAGTTTTATAAGTTCAATTTAAATAATTAGATTTAATATGTTATTACTAAACTTACTATATAAATATAATAATGATATTGATCTCTCCTTTTAATATAATGATATGGAGAATGATCCCCAATAGATTTTTCCTTATTTACTCTAAATAATCACTTTATTAATTCAATTAAATTAAGAAAAAATTATAATTAAAGTATTATCTTTGATTCACACACTTAAATTTACAAAGATGGATGATATATAAAAAGTCAATGATTCAGCTAATCTTTTATTAAAGTAATAACCAAATCAATAGATTATTGATTCTTTATTACCAGTATTTAAGAAATATACTTAAGAAATATATCATAGATTTGCAATATTTAGTAATCAATCAATTGACTTTTCCACTGTTTCAAAAGAATAAACTATACATAATTTAATCACTTCAATTTTTATTAAATAAGATAAAGATTATTTGGCTGCCAATTTTGATAAGTTATATGAATTAATGTGTAATGGTATTTAACTTATAGAAATTTAGTTGATTCAAATAATCCAAGAAGAGACGTTTGCGAATTCCTTGAATTAGTTTACTTATTATAGTATCGATATGATTAGAAATTTCTTCAAACTAAATTGACAGAATTTTTTTCTTATTCTTAGGAAGATTTAAATAGCACTCTATTAATGATTTATTAATAATTAGAAATAGATGTGAATATCAAGTAACCTTAAACACTTTCTTTTGAATATATTTCTATAATATCTAAGTTATTACACTTAATTTTAGTTATATGTTAGAATCCAAAAAATAAGAATCTTTATATGGAATATTTCTCTATGTAGATGCAATTCATTAATAATTTTGATAAGAAATTACCAAAGGAATCTGATTATAAAAATAAAGGCAAAATATTAAATTGTCCACTTAGTAATGAAATGACAGACATAAAAAAAGCAAAAGCAATGTTATTGAACTTAGCCTTAATAGAAAGAGTATATAAACTACATAAAATTGATAATCGTTAAATTTTATTATTGAAATTATCTATTCTATCATATCATGATAGTGTTCCAGAATACTTACTATTATAATTATCAAAATCTTCATAAAATTTTAAAGATTTAAAGAAATAATATCCTAATGCTTCTATAATAAAGGAAATTAACTTTTATTCTAAAATTGAGAAATTAAAAAAGAATTTTGGTTAAGAAATAAAATTGAAATCTTTATAAGGGGTTCCTACATTAAATAAATTTTTGAAACATGCTCAAAAACTATTATTTTAGAAATAATTGAGTGTAATAACTAAATTATAAATATTGGAATAATTAATGCCTTAATTAACTAGTTCTTTATTTGAATTTTAAGAGAAACCAAAATATCAAGATGAATTATTTTAATAATCAGATATTCATATATTTAAAATAGAACATAAAGAATTTATTTCATTTTATTTAGGTAATGGTGAATTATGCACTCCAGCTCTATTTATAAATTATAGAGCAGAAGCTATATATGTTTATTTACAAATATGCTATAAGTTATTAAAATTTTTAAAACATTTAGGTTTTTATAAAACTATAAATACAATATCTAATTCTATTATTTTATTCTCTCAAAGAGCTTTAGGAATAACTGTGTTAGTGAATATATATTCATAAATACCTTGGTTAATTGAAACTTAATAATGGTAATAGATAACAGATGGAGTTTGTAATGTTGTGAAATATTTGAATAAAAAGTAAGATTATGCATAAGCTACAAGTGAAAATACAAGACAATCCTTGTATCGTTAAAGAAGAAGTTAATGGGCTAAATTAAAAGAATCTCATGCTAAATTAGTATAATGTTTTGATGAAAACAATTTATTGAAAGGAAAATTCTATAAAGCTTTTTTTAATTTTACTTTAGAATATTTATGTTTATTGAATCATTCAAATCCTTATTTGTATGAAAAATTATTATTAAAATAAACAAGATCATTTGAATTGAAAACAAATTGCATAATTTTAAAATAATTATTTAGATGTACAGATGCTAAATAATATTGTTTTTTGGTAGATGAAAATTGTAGACATGAATTAGTTTTAGATTAAGTAATATTAGAATAGATAATTCCTGTTCTTGTATTGGGATTATGTGAATAATAAATTAATTAAAATGTATGCAATTATGGATATTAGATGTTTATATTAATTTAAAATTAATTAGCATAATCACTTCATTCTAATATTGATTAATCTAAATTATATATGTATTTATATTTAAGATTAAAAGAATTTCTGGCTGATTTTTAACCTTAATTTATTAAATAAATATAATGTAAATGTCCATAATAAAAAAAATATGATAAAAATAAATTTGAATTTGATTTGATTGCAACTTTAGCTTCATTTTAAATGAATTAAAAAAGAATACTCTTATAATAAGAAGATATCTCTATTATGAAATGTGAAAATCTAAGTAGAACTTCTGAATTAGCAAGTATTATTGATATTTCAATTAAAAGAGACATTGTTGTAATTAATTTTTTTGAATTTAATGGAGAAAAAATTATATTAATCTCTAAATATTGTCATGCAACAAAATAATGTATTAATAAATAAGTCAATCTAATTAATAAATGCTTATAATTTAAAGATGCCTTGATGTATTATCTAAACTTAATTTAAGAAAATATTGATTGTTTAGATGAAACATCAAGTGCTCCTGGATAATGGTGGTCAAGAAGAGATTATTATGAATAATAATTATTAAAAAGATAATCAAGTATAGAGTATGCATTATCAGATCATATAGATTTTATTTATAAATCTGATAGTCCTTTACTTATATTAAGTCCATAATTATAATTACTTCCATGGGATCATATCAAAAATACTGTATTTAATAGAGTTTTATCTTTGGGTCATATTTTGGATTTAACTAACTTACCTACTGATCCAAAATAAGATTTATTTTATGTATTAAATCCAGGAAATGATTTATAAAAATCAGAAAAGAAAATATTACCATTATTAAAATAATATAATTTAAAAGGAATAGTAAGAGAAAAACCAAATAAAGAATTAATTGTAGAATGTTTATAAAAGAAAGACTATTATTTTTATATTGGACATGGAGGTGGTGAATAATATATTAATGAAAAATAAGTTTTTTAAACTTAAATTTATTTAAGTGGAAGACCTTATTTATTAGGTTGTAGTAGTGCATAAATGATTGATTTAGGAAAATTCAAAGGCACTAATCTATCTTTTTAAGAAATTTATTTGGATCATGTTGATTGGCATGGATTGGCTGTTTCATATCTTCTTAGAGGTTGTCCATCTCTATTTGGATCACTTTGGCCTATTACTGATAAAGATGCAGATTAATATGCCTTAGATTTCATAAATGAATATGGAAAAAACTAAGATCTTAAACCAGAATTAATTATAATGTAAACAAAGCCAAAATGTAATTTGAAAGTATTAAATGGTGCTGCATTTGTATTATATGGAATACATGAAATGAAATGATTTTATAACTAATTTTCACATAATTTCTATAATTATTTTCTAAATATTTCAAATAAGATAATTTATATTTCTGACCTTCTCTTTTTGTTACAAAATTGATTCAATATATATATTTTTTTAATTCATTTTATCTTAGCTTTTTCTGCTTTTTTTCACAAAAGGAATTTAGACCAATATTTAATTCTAAAATTTAATTCAAAAAAGTTAATAAAATGGCGTTTGGGTTAATGTCTGAATTAAAATATATCAAATGTATTATTTATAATGCCTTGCCTTGCATTTGATTTTAGAGTAAGATGTAAAATTTAAATAAAGATTTAGTGATAATATTCTATTTTAATTAGAGACTAATTAATCTTCCTCTATAAATTTTAAATAAGGGCACTTTGATAAGTAATTTAGCAAAAGATGAAATTAGAATTGGATTATTAACAAACAAATTTTAAGATTGTAAATATATTATTGGAATTTGAAAGTTTGCAATAAAGGAAATTGATAAATTTAGATTATTGAATAAGAAGATGAGAATTATATTAATTATTCAAAATAAATATATATGAAGCTTTATTATAGCTAATCATATAAAAATAGTAGTAAGATACATTAATTATATATATTGATTTTATAAGATAATCCATTCATAGAAATAGTTAATATATAATATATAAAAAAGATCTTATATACTTATATCTTTGGGTAACACACTACTCTCATTAAAGTAAAGAATGTATTATTTGAATAATTAAAATAAAATGAAACCATATATTTAATAACTTAACATACTTAAAATAATATATAATAATGAAAAGAATTGGTGTTTATTTAGAATATTTTTTATGATTAATGAATCAATATCAAATTTCTTCTCCAGCTGATTATCTTAAAGCTAATTATTCTCTTAAGGTTCTTAATTCCTTGTTGACTAATCCGATGGTTTATGAAACGACATCTCTGTCAGAGGTTCTGGCAGATCTAGCATCTTAGTAATCTTAGACGGCTTCTTCACATTAGGTGAATCTGTCAGTTCTGTCAGCAGTGACGTTTTCAATTCTTTAGTTGGTGGTGTCAAGTGAGGCTTCAACTTAAGCAATGACATCATTCAAAGCAGCCAAATCTGATTAAGCGTTAGCAAGAGCAGTTCCGGCAACAGTGAGGGAGATGACAACAAAGTTTCTGGATTTCTTGTAAGCTTCAACTCTCTTATCTTCAGCGAATCTCAATAAGGATAATGAATCAGCAATCTTGGCTAATAATTCATCAGCTAAATCGATGATCTTTGAGACAGCTCCAGCATCAGCTAATTATTCAACCTTTGAGGCAATTGTGGCGAAAGCTTTGAATAATTTGCTGTATCCCTTTCTGTGTTAGAATTTGGCAGCCTTCTTAGCAGATTAGGTGAAGTGCTTTTAGATCATGCTAGCAACTTCCTTGGTGAATTTGTGAACTGGTTATCTTGTGGCTTTTCCTTTTTAGATGAAGGATTCGTGTTCAATGTTATCAGCGAAGAGTCTTCTAGCTTCAGCAATGATAGCTGTGGCTTCTTAGTGTTCTAAGACTTTCTCTTCGAAGTCAGCGTTTTCTTCAGCTCTTTAAGCATCGAGTTCATCTAAATCCTTTTAGTATCCCTTGACTTCAGCTTATTTTTAGGCAACTAATCCTTATAAGATTCCTCTTTATGGGTATAATTATCCTTCTAATCTAGCTTCTAATTCAATCTTCTTTCTGTTAGATTCAGCCAAATCTTTATCGAAAGCTGAGATGTCCTAGAATTGTATAAGTGTATATGTCTTACAACTGTGCATGCATCTTAGTATTCGTGGTTTCTGGCATCGTCTTCCTTTTATTCAGCAACATATCTGTCTTCCAAATCTGTCAAGGTTTAGAGTAATCTGTCTAATGGATCTCCTGTTTAGAGTTCGAGCCAGATGGTGTCGAACAATGTTCTTCCGAATGGTGATTAGTCAATCTTCTTGATTGTTGCAATGACATCAGCTTATGTTGATGAGGCTAACACAATGAGTGCTAAGGCAAGGATTATTGTTTTCATTTATAATAATAATGAAAATTTGAAAAAAGTTAGTCGTTTTTATTCCTCAATAAATGACGTCTTATTTTGTTTTATTAATAACCTATTGACTAATTTTGATTATAATATTATAGATCTCTAAATCATTCAATTAAACTTCAATAAATCATTTAATTAAACTCCATTCAAGTCTAATATGGTTAATCTTTAATTTAATGATTTTAGATATGATTGAATTTATTTTTAATATAAATTATTTTTGATAATACTAAAATGAAAATAAACTAATATATATTATGAAAAATAGAATAAAAAGAGATGGATTATATAAATCAAAATAATTGAGATTCATTAGAATGCAAAACATTAAAAAAGTCATTGGGAAATCTACTTTTTGGTACTATTGGTTTGTTTTGCTATATTTTATTAGTGATTTTTGAATATTAAATTCTACTTTATTCATTAAATTTTTTTTTTAACTCTCCTGTTGATAGAAATAACAAATCTAAAATTTTTTCTTTTGTTTATTGACTAATTTAATTTTAATAGTTTGTATTTTTTTATGTATTCTTTAAATTATTCTAAATTTCATCTTCTTTAAAAAATTAAGAAAATTCATCATCACAAGGCATATCTATATGATGTTTTGTTGGGAATCTTTGAGATTCATTAATATATTAATGCCCAAACTGTCTTTTTAAACTTGTAGAGTTTCTATTCTCACAAATACTACCAATTCTATAGGGATCATCTGGTTCTGTCTTCAATATTGATTACTTTTCTTTTGAATAACCTCTTTATAATTAATATAGAATTTCTCTTGAATCATCAAAATCTCTCTTTGCCTAATATTTAATTGGAGAATGNTAATCCTTATAAGATTCCTCTTTATGGGTATAATTATCCTTCTAATCTAGCTTCTAATTCAATCTTCTTTCTGTTAGATTCAGCCAAATCTTTATCGAAAGCTGAGATGTCCTAGAATTGTATAAGTGTATATGTCTTACAACTGTGCATGCATCTTAGTATTCGTGGTTTCTGGCATCGTCTTCCTTTTATTCAGCAACATATCTGTCTTCCAAATCTGTCAAGGTTTAGAGTAATCTGTCTAATGGATCTCCTGTTTAGAGTTCGAGCCAGATGGTGTCGAACAATGTTCTTCCGAATGGTGATTAGTCAATCTTCTTGATTGTTGCAATGACATCAGCTTATGTTGATGAGGCTAACACAATGAGTGCTAAGGCAAGGATTATTGTTTTCATTTATAATAATAATGAAAATTTGAAAAAAGTTAGTCGTTTTTATTCCTCAATAAATGACGTCTTATTTTGTTTTATTAATAACCTATTGACTAATTTTGATTATAATATTATAGATCTCTAAATCATTCAATTAAACTTCAATAAATCATTTAATTAAACTCCATTCAAGTCTAATATGGTTAATCTTTAATTTAATGATTTTAGATATGATTGAATTTATTTTTAATATAAATTATTTTTGATAATACTAAAATGAAAATAAACTAATATATATTATGAAAAATAGAATAAAAAGAGATGGATTATATAAATCAAAATAATTGAGATTCATTAGAATGCAAAACATTAAAAAAGTCATTGGGAAATCTACTTTTTGGTACTATTGGTTTGTTTTGCTATATTTTATTAGTGATTTTTGAATATTAAATTCTACTTTATTCATTAAATTTTTTTTTTAACTCTCCTGTTGATAGAAATAACAAATCTAAAATTTTTTCTTTTGTTTATTGACTAATTTAATTTTAATAGTTTGTATTTTTTTATGTATTCTTTAAATTATTCTAAATTTCATCTTCTTTAAAAAATTAAGAAAATTCATCATCACAAGGCATATCTATATGATGTTTTGTTGGGAATCTTTGAGATTCATTAATATATTAATGCCCAAACTGTCTTTTTAAACTTGTAGAGTTTCTATTCTCACAAATACTACCAATTCTATAGGGATCATCTGGTTCTGTCTTCAATATTGATTACTTTTCTTTTGAATAACCTCTTTATAATTAATATAGAATTTCTCTTGAATCATCAAAATCTCTCTTTGCCTAATATTTAATTGGAGAATGGACTATTTCACTTGGTTCAGTATTAGTTTTTTAAAAAGGTACATGATTTGATCTATTTCGAGCTTTTGCTGAATCATTTCTCAATCTTATATTGCTATGCTAACTGAAGCGAATAGTTTTTTTTGGTTAAGTGGCAAGTTCACTGATGTTAGGTTCATCAGACTTAAATCTTCTTGGCGTTGGCTACCTCATTTAGATATTAAGATTTTCGAAGCTTTTAAATTTTGACAAAGATTAATCACATTATTATTATATTTGAGGTGAAGGTAAGGATGGTAAATCTACTTTATTACTTTTTAAAATTCTCAATCTATATCATATTTATAATTAATACTAATTATTATTTCTTTTTAGTTAAGGAGAAGTAATAGCTTAGGTGATAATGGGAGCTGGTCTTTTAATATTTGATAATCGATTTTAACTTTTTGATTTTGATTCTTCATTTTATTATTGACTAAAGCTTTGTTTACTTGATTGATTTCTATACGATAAATGATTCACAGGTTTAATGAAGTATGGCTATTACCTCATATGATTAATATAATTTTATGATTGTTAACAATATAAATGTATATTTAAAATAGGTTTCAAAATAATCAATTCGAATTCTTAAATTTACAAATCACAAATTGACATCTTATCTAAACCTAGAAATCTTAGAATAAACTCCTATTATTTTATTAATAAAGGGATAAAAAAAAAAGAATAAATTATTGAATAAAGAATCAATATAGTAAGGATTTTACTTATTAATTTATATAAAATATTTTTGAAAACTTTTGACTTTTAAAAATAGTATAAGTTCTTAATTAAAATTAGTTAAACAATTATAATTGATAAAGACAATAATTCAGAATTCTTCTTAAGAACAAACCTATTCTAAAGCTAATTTTATTTATTTAGTAAATAATTCCTTAGTAATACTATTCAAATAATTATTTAATACTAGTATAATAATTCTATTACATACCTTGATATCCTTAGGAAATTAATTCTAAAGTCTATTGTGGTAATATAAGAGTATTCTTATATTCTTAAAGCAATTAAACAAGTTATTATTGAAACTAATTAATTTATATATATATATACTTCACTTGGATTAAATAAAGAAATGGCAAATAAGATATCACTATTAGGTGATGAAAATTTTAAAATTTTAGGAAAAGCAACAATTATTGTAAATGCTAATGAAAAAATGGATGTTAAAACTTGTTTGCCAGTTGTGTAAACATCTAATGTTTTCTTTTTTATCATATCTGTATCCACTTATTCACCAATAACTCCTTCTTATATTAAAAATTGCATAACATTGCAAAGAATACTAGCAATTTAAGATAATTATAGTGCTTCTTCATTTATTTGTTCTTCACCTTTTAGTTATTTAAAATTTAATATCTCTTTCAAAGTACCTTCTGATATAATTAATAAATCTAAATAAACATCTGATCCACATCTATAAGCTAATGTCTCACTATGTTCAGAACAGATTCCTTCTAAACATTCAAACAAGTACTTTTTATATTTTATTAAATTAAGAAATAAAGGCTTATATACAGTTATAAGCTATAATTATTTTTTAAACAAATTTAAATATGAGGAATCTTAATAGATTACAAAAAAGCCTTAATTAATTTATTTAGAACTTGACACCTACCCCATCACTTTTAATAATTTAGCAGCCATCTTCAATATTTAATCCTTGACTAGCTAACCTTATTATATACTAGTTTAAGCTTGTAATATTAAATAATCAATAGATGTAATAAAGAATGTTGTAGCTTTGCCATAAATTTAATAGAGTAGAATTTAAATGTTTTCATTTGATAATCTTGTATTTCTAATTGTATTTTTATATAATTACTTATTTTTAAATATTGAACATAAAAGTGCTGTTAATCCTAAAGAAGAATCATAATCTTATACAAATATTTAAGTGTTATCAGTAGATAATAGAGATGATAAATCAGGAAATCTAATTATATATAATATATATTATTACACAATTCTTAAGAATACTCTATATATACTATCTACTTCTAATTCATCTACTACTCCAATCATATCCCATAAATATTTGAGCATATTAATTTTATTAGTTTCATTAGTTATAGATTTTTTTATTTATTTGTAAATATCAACTAATGCAGGTACATAATCATCTAATTAATCATCAACCCAAACTAAAGAAACCAATTTATAAACTTGTTTTCTTTTCTTTATATACTAAACTTCATTAAAACATGTTAAATCCATCTATAAGAAGAATTATTTCAACATACTACTAATAGAACTCTATCTAAAGAATCTTCTATCCAATTATCTCTTTAATCTAAATTTATAAATCAATAAATACTTTTCATATGTATATTATAAAATAATAAAGCTATATTCTACTAAATCTGGATCATGAAAGGTAAATATTTAAAAGCTATAATTATACTTAAATATTACCATTTTTCTAAGCAACTCTCTATAACTATTAAATAATTAGATTGTATTGAATTATCTTTTCCTAAACTTATAGATCTATTATTACAATTAATTTATTACAATTATGATTAAGATATCACTATCTTTTATGTTTCTTCATAATATAAATTCTCGATAGTTTAAGATATATATGTTTAAATAAATATTAGTATACTAGTGTGATATAATTTGCAAACATAATTCTATATATTTATCTTAATTTATTGTTTACATCTGCAGGAATATGAATTTTATTTGTAAATGCAATCAAATCAAGTATTGCTTATAATAATATACGAGTTTAAGGATGACTCTCTGGTTTACTTTATTAAAATTGAGAATCTATTCCACTTAATAATTCAACTTATGCTGGACTTAACACAAGAGCAGATATTAAACACAACAAAGCACTAAATTTTTCTTTAATTTTAATAAATTATTACATAAAGTTATTAATTGTTCTTGTGGTTACAATGTTTAAACTTGCTAAATTTAATAATATTTAATACAATTATGGGTAAATTTTTTAATAAGTCTGAAATCACATTTAAACATTCAACTGTATTTTATTGATAAACCTAAATGCATAAATGAAAACTTTTGTCTAAGAATTTTTTTATTTTTTTAATAGGATAATTTGGTGGTATTTCAGAAAAAGGATTTCCATTATAAAATGCATGAATTAATAACTTAAAACTCAAATTTACAGAATTTTACAATAACTTAAATTATTGTAAATATTGAGAACTGTATATGTTAATTTAAAATAAAAATTGATGCCAAACTTCCTATAATTTGATAAAAACACTGTTTGATGATAATTTTATTCCTTAATTATTAAGAATTAAATGATTTATTTTATTTAATTAATTAACACATTGATCAAACAAATCCTAAAATTTTCTTAATTTTTTTAAAGTAAAATTTGACTAATAAATAATTAACAGATACTTACAACTAATCTTATAGCAAAAGAGCAAACTTCATTTGAAAAATTAGTGTTATTCAAATATAATTCATAATTATTTAATAGAAATAGTAAGCCTTCCCAAAGTGTTCTTCTTACAATCTTTTTAAAATTATGCTTTGAGAAAAATAAGGTTAATCTTGCTGAAGCAATTCTTTAAACAATATTTAGTATTCTAATTGAAATGGCTTAATCTAAAGTATAAAATTCAATAATTGCTCTAAAATATTCTTAATTTAGCTTTTCATCATTAAGTATTTTGAAATATGAATCTGGAAACTAAATTTAGTATGATAAATTATTTACATTAATTATTAGGTTTTCTTTAGAATCATGATCAACATCAATTTCATAAAAACTCAGATTGAAATTAAATGTAAAAAATGAATTAAGTAATGATATTAATGAATCAGCATATGATTTATCTAATCGATATATATATAAAAAAGATCCTATTTTCAATTAATTTTAAACAAGTTTATGTGTCTATTCTAATAATGTAGATAATGACTATCTAATAATATTTAATAAATAGCAACCTTTGAAACCCCATCATTACTTTTCTAAATTCTAGATAACCAGTTGCATAATAATATTAGCGAACACAACTTAATAGATTTTCAAATAATTTGCATCCCAAAGATAAAATTTAAACATTTTATGTATAAAAAAATGTGTTAATAAGTTTTTCTACTAATTACTCTGGTGCAATTATTTCA